TACAAAAACATCATCATTTTTCAATTGTTATGTCGTAGTTTTAATGCTATTTTATTATTATTATTATTATTATTAATGGAAAATTCGTTTTATACGTTAGAACGCATTAATAAATTTTTCAAAGCTAAAAATTTATTATATGAAAGTTTAAAGAATATTTATCAGCGTTCTGAACGGGACTAATTACAGTATCGTTGGATCTGGCAACGTTGAGGAATGAATGAAAATCGTTGCGTCTTATCCTATTTAAAATTAAAAATAACCGTTAGAATTAGATCAAAGAATAATTTATCACTTAAAAAACATCAAATGATATTTATAAATCGTTAAAGCTTAATTTAAATGTAGGAAACATAAAATGTGAAAAATAAATCACCCAACGTAAACAATGTTGCCAGATTGCTTCCAAATTAAATTTATTCTTTGAAATCGGGGGGAGGTTTCGCTTGGTAATTAAGCAAGAGATTTTTATCCAAACAGTAAATTAATTGTTCCGACTAAAGCCAGATAGCCGGAGTAAGCTTATTCTGATCATAAAACATTTATTTGAAGAGTGTATGAATGTTTAAAATGGCCACAAATGCTCGGGACTCAGAGAAAAATTTCTCAATAACTCATTAAACTATCTAATGGGTTTAAACTGTCCGTAAGCATCTTTCGTCGCCGTGCCAAGTAATAACGTTTGTTGTTATCAGTAAGATTTTCACACACAAGTGTAAATTGCTATTGCCGAGAAAGCCAAGTCCGAGGCAATTAAAATTCTTCATCTGTGATAGAAATAATGCCCATGAGTCCATAAATTGTAGTCATTCACCATCCGTTGCCGGGTTTAATTGGACATAATCAAAATAAATGGCGCCTTTACCCGTTCACCTCATGGGGTGATGCCATTAACATTGAAAGACATTACAGTATATTTTATGGTATACTCACGTAATATGCCTGTTAGTATCCGCTAAAGAGGGATACAACGCTTGAATAGCTGTCAGTGTTGCCTATTCTTGTCAAAATTTTGCATTAATATTCAAAGTGGCATCGATTCCTACCGATCTTTACAATGCAGATTTGCTCAATCTCCGAGTGTTTCGGGATTTTCGGCGACGTTAATGAAAGTAGTGTGAAATTAAGTATCGAAAAAGCTTTTGTTACATAAATTAACTTTGTTATGATATGCAAGTTTCTCATCGTTTTAATGCATAAAAGTTGCATGTGTTCATTAAATCTAGGATGACACACACTGACTCATGCTTATGAGTATTGCAGTTGCAAAAATGTATCGTGCAAGAGAAAAACACTACTTATACATTTATAATGTTTACGTTCTTATAGAAATAAGGCTTTAGTATCCAATTCGATATGAGTTTAGGGATTTAAATATTTAAATTTGAAATACAGTAGTTACTGTGTGAAGATAGGCAGGCAGAATTAAGTGGAAAATTTGAGATTTTAGAAGATAAAAGTGCATAAATAATTACAAAAGAAGATAGTTAAAGAATAAGATTAAATGTAGAGGTAGGTTAGTACAATAGAACACAGTACAGTAGAGGTAGGTAGGTACAGCGCAACTGAGGATTATAGGAGTATGAAGAGTCAAAATCGACTTTTTACAGGTAAATTAGTTGTTGAAGTAACAATTTATAAGCTTTATTAGGCGTAGAAACGAAGTTCTTAGAAGATAAACTAGTAGAATGGACCGGCAAGTGAACTAGCAGAATCAATACAAATTAAGATAATGTAAAGAGAAGATACAATATATAATTAATAGTGAAAAATTGCATAGAACAAGATGAAACGCCTTGAAAAAAGGCTATAAATTTTACTATGCCCAAAACGAAAGTGAAACTGGTCGAGATAAAATAAACTTATAAATAAATGAATCGAGGCTAATCAGATACAGAAAATAATTTATAACCAGTGATAAAATTGATGTAGTATCGTGCTCTGAAAATGAAGCATATTTTGTACGTGAGATAAATTCAATCATTAAAACGGGTCTAAATTCAATTAATAAATACATTTAACTGCATCAATCAATAAGTATTCGGTTGTAGAAACTCTCATAAATTTGTAGGGGGGCTTTATTCAATTCCTTCAGCAATAATAAACGGAGCAACGAACATGAATCACTGCAAGCACGCAAAGGCTATTGATCTTTTCCTAAAGTACTCTACACAACAGTTGTAAACTGTGAGGCTAGCTGAAGATGTCGAAATTAAAATCCTTTATTTTACATGTTCAGTTGTATAAAAAGAAAACCGAAGCAGCCAAGAAGGAATATTTGAAAGCCTTAGCTGCTTACAGAGCTAGTTTAGTCTCGAAGGTAAGTTTGAAAATTTGCTAGGATGAGGGACTTAGTTAACGTAATTTGTTCTAATTAAATCATCTTCTTAAGCAGGCAGCTGCCGATCAGTCTGACGTCATGTACGGAAATTCCGTCAGTCCTACATCTTCATCAGCCACATCTCCCGTTAATTCATCGCCCGGTCACGTGTCGATGTTGTCACCCCTTCAGAAGAAATCCCCGTTACTAACATCCCTGATGGAAGGGAATTCCCCTTTGGCATCTCAACTGCAACAGCAGCAGCAGCAGCAGCAGCATCCTGTAGTGCCAGGCCAAATGTGGCGCTCCGTAAGTAACAGACTTTCCAACTCATTCGGATACAGAAATTTGTTTGAACCGCTTAAAACATTAAAAATATCTTTATGTATACAAATATATATTGTATTGTTATTGTTAATTAGCTGCATGTTTTAAAAAAAAAGGGAAACGGAACGAGTTTGTCGAAGTTCAAACAAATTTCTGTATTTTTTTACTTGACTGATCCAATCCCTCCTTCAGATCAGCAACATGTACTTCACTGTCCCACAGCCCGTCAACAATAACCATCCAATGTCTCATCATTCCATGGGTCAGATGCTACATCCGCAATCGAACCAGATGCTACAACAGCAACAAATCATCCAGCCTCAAGGGGTCAGTCAGTCTATGAATTCCAGCAGTTCGTACACTGTCATGTCCACGGTGAGAAAGAACCCCAGTTTTTCTTCAGCCTTTCCAGATCGGCAGTTTAACCATTTTTATTTTATTTATTTATTTTTTTCTGTGTGTTTCTTTATAGATGGCAACGCAGAACAGTATTCCGGGATCCGAGGTTTCTCGAAACTGTCTTCGTAATAATATTGAAACGACGCAATGGGAGCAAGATTACCCCAATAACGATTGCGTCATTACTCATTGCAGGTAAATTTTTTACGTGTATTTACTTACAAAGAAATGGCATCTTCAGGTTTTAAGATAGATTTACCTCATATCTCCGTAAACTATCTTTCATTTTTTTTTTCTAAATATCTCTAGTATTTGTGATTCCTCCTGTTGGCTCTAGTGAAGGGTTTTTCAATTATTTATTCTTTACTAGTATCTCTTCTAAAGTTTATCTGTATAAAGACTCTTAGTAAGCCTCTTCAACGTTTTCAGTAATGTTCTTATAAGTTTAAAGTTCTGATAATGAGCAAGAGCTACATTGTTCATCATCGAGTGGTTGTAATGCTTTCTGTATCGAGCGTTTTGTAACAAAAAAAATATTTGTTTCATTCAATAACGTTGTTATTATACCTCTATCGAAAAACCTTAATTATCATTTTATATATGAGGGACTCTCGTGTAGGGTGCCACACCCTCAAACTGCAAAGATAACCTCTTCAAGGAGTGTAAGGTTTTAAATCCCTAGAAGAGTCTTACACCTCTTAACAAGGCCTTATTCCCTTACACCCCCTAGAAGAGGTAAAACTCTTGTGTTTAACCCCTGAAATATTTTTGGAAGGCCTTTCACAATTGGCTAAGTTTTATGGAATAAGTGAAACGACCAGGTAGGTCCTGAAATGTAAAAAGAAAAGGGACGTTTCTACTGATGTCAGATGTCACGTAGTTGACTCCGGTGGACGATCGTCGGTTTTCTAGTTTCCTGGCATCATCGATGACACGTGTTACGAACAACAATAAACTTAGGAGTACTTTCTATGAGAAATTGGCACTATATAGATGTTAGACACATGAAGAAAATCCGGAAAATTCCACGTGGCCAGCCCTGCTGGTCAGGCGCGAAATCGCGACCAATGTATTTAGTGGTTTTATCCACTGGCGTGCTTCTTAATCGCTTAAGTCCTGTCTGAATTAGACTGAAATACACGTATAGGAATACAAGTCTAAGTAAAATAGCTTAACGAATTTTTTAATGTGGTGCAAAAACACATTAGAAAATCCTATAGGGTGCAGGCAGCTGAAAAGGCCAAGAATCACCGCTATATACGGAATAAAGTACACGTGAATAGAATAATTTCAAATGTAACAGATTTTAACCGAAATTTATTTGAACGTGCTATAATTAACGATTTTTAAAATAGAAATAGACAGATTTTCTTTCATTGTTGCAAAGCTTTTTAGAGTTATATCTTATGAATAACGCAGAGGACGTTTTATCTTCTTCTTTCACCTTACATTTTATTCAATTTTTTAGAAATATTTTACTTGTATCAACCTATAAAGTTACTACACGTATTTATAGTGTTTGCTTTTTATTTTTTTTTTATTTTAAGAGTTATTTCTCACTATTCTTTATATTTTTGCAACGTAATAAAAAACCGAAAATATTATTTTGATACTTAATTGCAACGATATTCCTAACTGACATTGTTTTATTTATAATGAAGTATCTTATTTATATATTTATATACTCGAGGAGTTTTTTTTATGTAGGATGAATCTGTTCCACTTTTGTTACTATAAAAGCTTTCCAATTATGTTACGACACGCTGAATTCAATCTTAATCCCTCTCGAGATAAATTTATCCTCGAAAAAAAACATTTCTTCCAAATCAAATTTTTATGAATATTTTAGTTTTTGTCNGTCGTTACCAACGTTATGTTGTTTAGAATGTTCTAAAGTTACAGCTATAATCACCGTATTCACCCTTACACTTACCCTACTCACCCTTATACTTACTGTTCACCCTGACATCTTACTCTATTCACTCTTATACATACCTTACTCAGCCTTACACTTACTCTACTCAGCCTTACATTTACACTATTCAGCTTTACACTTGTATAGGCTCTATTCAACCTTTATACTGTTGTCCTTTATACAAGTGAACAGAAACTGGGATGAAATATACTAATTCTTCTAATCTTGATCGCCATCATCAATATTCTGATATTTAACAGGTGTTAAAAGTATAGATATAATTTCTATATTCACTCTTAGTATAGGAATAGACAGAAACCAAGGTATCCTTCCTCCTCTCCTTCTGTATCCTGAAAGCAGAGTTAGAAGGACACGTAACAGAAAGCAAAAAATAGAATCCTGCTTGAAGATTGTAGCATGTTGCTTGACGATTTCGACTTTAAGAATATTCAAGCAACATTCGATTTCCAAGAATCTTTAAATCCTGAACTCGTACTTAAAGATTCCTGAAGCTTCCGTGAAGGATTCTACAGGAATCTAATGCTTACTTGAAGGATTTTAATCACTTGAAGCCCAGAAACCTTCAAGATTTATCAAAACGTGATAATTAAGGTAGAAAGGCTCTAAAATACTACACAAGTTGGACTCTTTCTAGTGTAATCTTCAGAAAATTCAAACAGAGGGAACGTTAACTAATCCAGAAGTCATTCCGGAGCAAAATAACTTTATTCTACCAACTTTTAAGAATAAGATCTTCATCTTATATCCTTGTTAAAGAATTAAATTTACCCCTAATTTCATAGATCATAATTGTTAAAGAGGTAATTTTAAAATCGTTTTTCCAAAGTAATTTATTCAAACTTTTCGAAAAGTCCCCTCCACCCGCTTACTCCAGTTGTATACGACTGTAAAGGAGGAGAGTGGAGGAAGAAAATAATAACAATAATAATCATAAAAAAAAGAGAGATATGACTCTGGAAAAATGCCAGAAATTCTTTATAAAATTACCTCTTCTTTTTGTGATATTTCTCTAAAAATGTAATTGCCTTTTCAATATAAATTGATAAATAACTTAAATTTCGTTTTTTTTCCTTACCATTGTATTATATATATATTTTTTTCCTTTGTAACAGACCAGTGTCTGCCTATGCACTTTTCTTCCGGGATACTCAAGCAGCTATCAAAGGACAGAATCCAAACGCCAGTTTTGGTGAAGTGTCCAAAATTGTCGCGTCCATGTGGGACAGTTTAGACGCTGATCATAAAAACGTGAGTTGTCAAAATCACTCAACTTATACGTCAACGTTAAATTTATGATGTTCCTTGATGTTATGGAATTTATCTTGTTTCATGATATTTCAGTATTTCGGGTAATGTCTCTTATCTTGTTTCATTAGAGCCAATTTCCTGGATGATAAGATTGATACTCCTCCTGTTTTTCTCTCCCTTTCTGTGTGCCTACATCCTCTCTCTCTCTCTCATCGTGGGTACATCTTCTTCTATTATCGATCCGCACACCCCCTGAAATTATATACAATATCACGATAAATTATTTATGAAGATGTATAGATTATCCATTATAACAATGGAATTCTTACTCCCTTGCAATGGGGAGCATTTAAATAAATAATGCCCTATATTAAAGATAATTCCGGGAAACTTTACTATTAATTCCAAATTATCTTCCTCGTTGGTGATTCGCTTTAATCAACTGTTATCTCCCGTATTATGAATTATATATGAAGTGTTTGTTGTGTATAATATATGAGGCCTTATATAATTATTCTTAATATATATATGGTATTACCATTAAGGGTTATAACTCTATCGACTGTTTAGTTAAGATGAAAATAAAGCAAATATAACAGGCTCAGAGCGATTGCTTAATAAGGTTAACTGTAATTAAGGGCTTAAAAGTTGTAAAATCTATTCGAAATAACTTCTACCCTGCCATTTTCCCATTAAAAAGATGGAGGTTTTACTAATTTTAAATGGCTCGTCACTTAATTATAGTTAAGTAATGCTTAATAACTGTAAAATGTATGGAAAATCACTCCTTCCCTTACCATTCTCCCATTAAAAAATGACATTTTTACTACTATTAAATAGTTCGTCACTTAATTACAATTAAGTAATGCTCAAAAACTATAAAATTTATGCGAAAATGTGCTCTGCCCATGCCATTCTCCCATAAAAAATGGCGCTCTTAGTGCGCTCCGTCGTGCATTTACCGACGTTTAATGTTATTAATTTGGGCATTCAAGCCAATTTTAGTAATTTATCACAGTACACAAGCGTAATTTAGAACGTATGCTGGATTCTTAAACTAATTAAAATGGTTACTAATAGCATAAATATCGTTTATGTTACATTATTTGAAGTATGGCACTAAGTTGGCCTGGCGGATTATTAATCGAATTGTAGCATGCATCAATCGATTTTTCTCGTTGATTTCGAATATATTTGATAAATATTGTTTACGTGGGATGTGTTTTAAACTAATTAAAATACTATTAATTACATCAAACGCTGCCGCCCCACCCCCTTTTGTGACGAAATATTCCAATGGTGTTGCCATTTTAGTGACTTTGTATCCGTGTTTTGATGGTTAGAAATAATGCTTAATTTAATTGTGTTTAGGTTAATCGATCGACGTCATATTTTTAGTGTTTACGCTTACGTAAAACACGCCAAAAGGGGTGTTGTTTTTTATAAACGCTGTGGCATTATTAGATTGCTTATTGTGTTAATTTATAGGCAAATTAACTTTAAATTTTATTAATTTTGTAACGTATTTATGCTCGAAATTCTTATAAATGCCTTTGTTTCGAACACTGCCTCCAACAAAGGGTAGTAATTAATTAAAACAAGATCAAAGGTGTCAGTTATTTAGGGTTGAAATCTCGTTGGGATGATTGTTGAGCATTTTAGAAACAAAATATCCTTTAGGAAGTTTGATTTTTGTTAATGTAAACAAGTAATTATCATCGTCAATCAGTTACAAATAATTATGTAATAATTGAAACTACAGTTATACACAAAACAAAAGTAACAGATGCAGTTACAGCCAACACCTTTAAACAGAGACTTGAAACAGGTATAGACGTGAAACACATGCAGTTATCCATCTTGAAACAATTGATACAGATATATTTATAACATCCACAAACAGTAATAGTTATATACTTGAAACAATAGCAATTATTTCAAAGTGTCTTTATACCTTTGAAAGAGGGTGCTTTTACAGGATAAGTATCCTAAGACAGGCGCATTTATGTTT